GAATAGATGGAACGGAAAAAAGAAAGAAAGAAAGAGCGATAGATAGAAAGAAGGAAAGAAAGAAATAAAGGTTCCTTTCGAACCTTGGGGAATCTTTTGCAAAAAGATAATCGGCCTTATTTATTGGATTGGGTCATGTTACTGCATGTTGCATATAAATGTGTAAGTCATTTGGTTGGAAAACGCTTAGGTCGTCACTGAAGAAATTGTAGAGAGCATTATGACTTTGCCCTAATCAGAGTCTCTATGAGTTCGGTAGGCTTAACAATAATCCCTGTATTTTAATCAGATCTGACAAAATCGATAATAAAATACAATACATTTGTGCGTAGCCTTTAATTTTGTACAGTGCAATTAATTTCCGCTCAACAGCAAGCTCTCTATGCGTTTAACAATAATATTTATTGTGATAACGTTCCTCACCGTCGCTCCCTGCCGCAAAAGACTCCGGGCCAATGATCTGTCCTTCGAACAGTTTCTCCAACCTCTGCAAGTGGGTGTTCACAGAGAGTGGACCTTCTAGGCGAGGAAGTGAGTCCCCTAAACTGTGGAGCACAAAAACAAATGGTATGGGTTTAACGCCTCTATCAACACTATTAGGTTCTTTAAGAGGCGGGGCCTCCGAGTTTAACGTCCATCTCCGAAAGGACAGAGTCAAATGGGCATTTCGTGTAAAGAGCCTTTCCCAACGACATAACGTCGGACCGAGCTGAGGCTCGAACCCCCCGAACCCACGACCTCACGATTACGAGTCCGGTAGCCTAACCTCTAGGCTACGGATGCCACTGCATTCAAACAAAAGCAGTTAAGTGTTCTCGTGTTATGTCAATGACCAACTTACTTTTCTTTCAATGGTTATAACCTGTTCCATTGACATATACAGTGGAGTCCGCTTAAACCGAACACATTGAATAAAAAACCCAGTGGTAAACCGATAGTAAAGAAAATCCTCAGTTTTTATTTCTTCTATTTGAACAACTTTTCTAAACCGAAAACCCGTTCAAACCAAAGAAAACCCGGCGGTCCCGTAGATTTCAGTTTATGCGGATACCACTGTACATTTAATTTAGACCATAACAGAAGTGGGCAGCTTTGACCCTGTCTGACAGAAGTCGTGCGGGGCTTACCACAACAACAAAATTTTAAATTGATTCCTACCAAACTGAAAATATACTTGAGGTGTCCCGCGCGCTCATATGACCGTATAGAGTTGCGAGCGCCGTAAGACATGTACCAATAAATAACTAACTAAATAAATGAATAAATGAAAACAACACCCGCCAACCACCCACTTACTTACCTCATTTAGTTTTTAGCTTTAGTGAAAGTTGTAAGGCACTTGCAACACACTAAGGTCATATAAGTGTTACAAGAGAGTAACACACACAAAAAAGAAGGAGGAGAGATCAGGACAATAGATGTTAGATAGGAAAGAAGGAGGAGCAAACCAAACCAGAGCACCCGCCAACCACCCACTCTTACCTCACGGGGTCCGGGTCAATCGGTGACGGAATGAAATAAATGACAGCCACACCAGCTGCAGCCACGAGAGCAGACGCTGTCCACAAACTGGGTCAGGAGAGACATACAACAGAAAACGTGTTTTAAAAAAAAATAATGAATACATAATATAGTGGAGTAAAGTTTCCATAATGAAAGAGTAATAATAATAATAATAATAGATAGATAGCATTTGTATAGCGCATATCCCCGCTCAACAGCAGGCTCTATGCGCTTTACACTATATTATTACCCCAGCAGACCATAGAGCACTCCGAAACATTCTCAGCTTCCCGGGAAGCATACAGTGCGAGCAGCCGATTAAGCGCTCAAACACTAACAAACTGACAAGATCTTTCACTGTCTATAGCTGGGTACCCATTCCCACCTGGGTGAAGTGAGGAAAATAAGTGTAAAGTGCCTTTCCCAAGGACACAACGTCGGGCCTCTGACGGGATTCGAACCCACGACCTTACGGTTGCGAGTCCGAGAGCCTAACCACTAGACCACCGACCACCGAGTACAGGTTTGCCTTGGTTACATACATTGACAATGGTGTTACAAAGGTCCTGTTCTGCGCTCACCCATGCACACAACAAACGTGAACATTACTTTTACATTATTGTTACATGTTTAAACCGCTCCGCATCATAAACGTTCTCTCTCTCTCTCTCTCTCCCCCCCTCTCTCTCTCTCTCTCTCTCTCTCTCTCTTTCTCTCTCTCTCTCTCTCTCTCTCTCTCTCTCTCTCACACACACATGCGCGCGCGCGAGCGCGCACAGAGAAACGACAAAAAACGTCATGGGAGAACAGAGCAGGCACATTGTTGAGATGAGATGAAGTGAGGTGAGGGAGGAGATGCGATGAGGTGAGGTGAGGTGAGGTGAGGTGAGGTGAGGTGAGGTGAGGTGAGGTGAGGTGAAGGGAGGAGATGAGATGGGGTGAGGTGAGGTGAGGAGAGGTGAGGCGAGATGAAGATGAATCTAAAAATTGTCCAGATACTGGCACATTGGTTTCGTGTTTTACACACACACACACACACACACACACACACACACACACACACACACACACACACACACACACACACACACACACACACACACACACACACACACACACACAAACACGCTCGCACGCACGCACACACATGTACACATGCACACACACAAACACACACACAAACACACACATACACACCCACTCACACATACCATCTCACACATCCTCTCTTTTAAACACATCTGTACACATACATGTACACATTTACTAGTTTGCACTCCAGGAATCACAGTTACACTCACAATATAAGCGAAAATCACTGTTAACAATAATAACGTTAAACTAGATATACATAATCTGATAGTAACCCTATAATATTCTGTGTATGACCAGTCGGTATTTTCCAAACTTGGCCGGGTGACAAAATTAAAGCATTAGCAACAATGAAAGGATGTAGAATTTAGGAGAAAAAACAATTTAAAACAACAACAACAACAACAACAACAGACAAAAAAGCCTAAAAAACCCAACAACCAACAACCCACAAACAAACAACACCCCCCCCCCCAAAAAAAAAGAAAGATAGAAAGTAACCCAAAACCCAATCCCACATTTACACCTCAACTCATTCCATACCGGGCGGTTTTCAAAGTTTATGCCAGGTCACTGAGCTCCACACTGAATGTTGTGCAAGGAGGAGTCCGTTACCAGTCTTATTAAATTTCATTGCACAGATCAATACTTACTGACACTCATTTTTAGCCACTACTACTTTCGTTAATAAGTATCACTGACACGTTTCATAGTAAGGAGATGAAAAGGGACAAAGAACGGAGTACCACACTAACGTATGCTATTCGATAGGAACCGATGATTCATCTGTCGATGATATATTATTTTTTTCAAGTTAAAAAAAAAAGTTTTAATAATTAAGGGTCTTTCGGCACTTGCAACACAATAAGGTCATATAAGTGCAGAATATTAGGTGTTACAAGAGAGTAACAAAAACAAACATAAAAGAAGGAGGAGAGACAAGGACGATAGATGTTTGATAGGAAAGAAGGAGCAAACCTCACCAGACAACCCGCTCGTGGACGAGCCTGGAAAGGATTAATAGGCATATTTTTTAGTGAAAAGCGATACTCTCTGCTGTTCATGATACACATGTTACACTATACCACCAATCAAATTTGTAGCGCGACAGGAAATTAATGTCACATACATGGTACGGACTTATCGGTAAAATTATATAGATAATTTACAGAGCTATACGTGTAGTATAGTAATAAACAACAGCATGATAGTCTCGCCAACAGGTAAACGTTTGAATACAAATGAGGTTCTATATTTCTCCTCCTTCAACCCTTTCCCGCGTGGTGACCAATGTGAGTTTGATTCCCATGCAGTGAGGGTTTTGCATCAAGTACACGTGTATCCTTTTTTCCTTTTTTAAAAATTTACCACAGCCCAGATTGGTCCTGACAGACAGGGTCGGAGCAGCCCGCCCCCTTTTTCATATAAAAGGGGACATTAACAACCACAACCCAGCGTGGTGTCCTGCTAAGGTTATAGTAGTAGTAGTAGTAATAATAATAATAATAATAATAATAATAATAACAATAATGATAATAATCATAATAATAATAAAATAGCATTTGTGTAGCGTATATCCCCGATCGACTGCAAGCTCTATCCGCTTTACACAATACTTTTACCCCAGCAGACCACAGAACACTCAGAGACATTCTCAGCTTCCTGGGAAGCATACAGTGCAAGCAGCTGATTAAGATACCAACAGTACTCTTTCTTAATGGTCTTTTCTGTGTTTGTTATGGCATTGGCTTTTTAAAAAAATGTAGGTGAATCTCACGCCCCCATCGTCACGATTTATTAAATCATTTAGGAGGTCGGCTTCCGACACTACCTGTCAGGGCCAACTCGGGCTGGAAGAATCGGATACAGCGTCCCAGAAAGAAAAACCGAGATACACGGTAAACGTTTTCACCCAACTTGGGTATTGTACTTGGGTCTCTTGCGTGCGACAGCGAAACGCCCACCCGCTACACCACAGACGCCGGGGCTTTGGTTATAAATTACACAACAAAAGAAGACCTTCTGATGGTAGTGTGGAGAATATATTGTCGCTGTCACAGGGACAATGTGCAACCTTCGTCATCTGGTAAACTAAGTGGAACTGGAGTCCCTTCAAGTACGCCTACTTGTTTTTCATCCGGCAGTGACATGTCACAGTACCTTTCTGAACAGTGGCAAGACAGCACAAGTTGCCTATCATGTGTTGAGGGAATGTAACATAAGAGTATTGATGACTTCAAAGACCATTACGCTCACAGATCGCAAATTACTGAGAACAAGGCAGTTGTTCGTCTCTGATGATTGCCTGAGGATTCAGTTTCTCACTAGGTGATTGCAGGTTGGTGACGACTTAATGGAAACTAAAGATACAATTTTCAACCAAGGATGACTTTCAGAAGAGCAGGGATGGACCTGCTGAAATATAGACCAGCTGTTATGGTTAAAGCAGATTCTGCCTCATACTGTTGTTTTTGTAGTTGTAGTAATAGTATTGTTTTTGTAGTAGTAGTAATAGTATTTGTTGTTGTTGCTGTTGTTTTCGTGTTGTTGTTGGTGATGGTGGTGGTGGTGGTGATGGTGAACCATAGTAAGTGGAGAACAAAATGAATACTGTATTGCTTCAGGGACAAAGACCCTTCCCCACATATATATATATATATTAACATGTGGAAGGCTGCCATTGGAAGTGCCATAAATAAAAAGTACAAGGGGAAAATGGCTTTAGTCACAATTTCCGTTTGTTAAAATTTGCCTGTTTCGATTTTTTCTATTTATTCCATTTTTATTTTTAAAAACCCTGCTGTTGTCACATGCTAATGACTTATATCTAAAACTGTTGCACATGGAGGGTGCAGCAGTAATCCAAATAAGCATGTGAAAGAAAGACAGTAGCTTTCAACATTTTTCCTGTGACTAATGCCGGTTTTTTCCCCTTGAGATCTTCAAATGTATGTGAATATTAAAATTGAATTCTTGTGGGGTTTGTTCGCTTTCACTGCATGATGGGAGCACATAAAAAATGGCATATTTCCTTATTTTTTAGTCTACTCTCTTATGCAACAGTAGTGCCTCTTTTTCAATGCTTCCTACCAATCTGAAAGTTAGCTAGGTTCCCTTTGGATTATGATGTAGTCACTGCTTGTCCCAGCATTGTGACAGTGGTAGACACACCGAGTCTGTGGCTTATAAATGAAGACGAGCTTTTAGACCCATAAATGCTTCAATAATTTTTTTATTTCTTTCTGATTTGACCAAAACTGGCATTCCAGGATGCTGGAATTCCTATTTGTTTCATGGCAACTGCATTTTTAAGAATGTGAGTTGCTAGTCTGAAATGTTTTGTATTTTTGATGAGCTTGACAGGGGTGACTCTTAAAAGAAATAGTTTTTACCTTCAGTGAGCTCTAAATTCTATTTTTAGAAACTGAAATGGAGGGTTGTATATGTTTTCTTTTATGTGCTTGTGTACTTATTCTACACGGTAGTGAAAGTCCATGTCAACAACAAAACAAAAACAAGCTGCTGAAAGATACTCATTGTCCTTCGGGAAATTGATTTTGGGACTGCGCAGGCGTGGAAAGAAAAAAATCTGTGGATTCTCAATATCCTCATTGAAATTGTTCTTCAAAAATATTTTTCTCATTCAAAATACCCCATGTATCAGTATCATTGGTACATGTATTCTAGTTAGTCCTAGCTTACTTGCTGTCTCCATTATTATTGAATGCTATTTAAGTTATAATTATACTGTAGTGGTAGACTCTGATGAAGCAGTCGGCGAAAAGAATAACTGTAATCTTGCAAATATCTTTCGGGTTTCGATCTTTTGTAGGCACACTGCTTCCACTGAGGCAAACTGACTAGCAGAAATTTTCAAATGTGACACCACCCAAAAGCTTGTGATTTATTTTTGTCCTTTCACACTGATATTGTATGCATATCTAGTCTCTCACATATATTCCAGAGAAAAACCT